TCTGAAGTCACACAATTGCTGTTTGCAAGGCAAGCACTGAGCTGGCCATGTTCTGCAGGGCTGGAGAGCTGTGTGGCAGGCACCAGAGGAACATAACCCCCATGAGCAACCCCAGCACAAGGCCTGCTGAGCACAGTCCTTGTCTCCAGCCCCCCTGAGCTCTCACAGAGGCTTTTCCCCACAGACCCCTCTGTTGTTCCCAAGCTCTTCCTGTACTCACTCTTGAGGTACCTCAGCCTCTCAGTGAGCACACAGCTGAGGGGTGAGAGACATTATCCTATCCTAGCAGATACTCTAGCCTTCCATCAGCAGGCCTAAGGCTGTATTACTGCTCACTCCTCCTCTCCAGAAACACACATCCTAAAGTTCTTCATTCACCAACCAAGTTGTGTTGTGGGGTTTTTTCAGGCAGAGACATTGAACATGACTGTGAAAATGTTCCCATGCATTGCATACACTAACAACAATAAACACCCACTGTACCTTAAAGATTTACTCATGAGAGTTGAATGGCTCAACTAGGGCACCCAGCACTTTTAGACTACACAGACACAGTTGTGTTCACAGAATAATTTCACTGCTATCCTTGAAGAATCCCTCCCTCACTACCATTAGGAAAATGGCAAATTAGTATCACTAAACACAAATCTTGCTCCTTGTATGGTAGGCAGAAGACAGGCATCAAGGCTGCATCATGCTGTCCAAGGCATGTATTTTAACACTCACAATGCAGATCTAGGAGACTTTCTTAAGTACCATAAACTTAAGCTAGAGCCCACTCACTATGCACTTCTCTACTCCGAGGGAGCTCCAGCAACACTTTGGGACACCCAGGCTCTGCCCTGTGTGACGGTAGTAGGTGTGGAAAGGGACCTGAAAAAGGAGCATGTAACTGATCCAACTGGTCCAAGGCCAAGGAAATGCTTGTGAGTGCACAAGGACCCTATTACACATCCCTTGTGCTTGTAATACATCATCTAGACACTATGATAATTTTGCCTCCAAGTTCAGAAATGCCAGTAGAGCTATCCTAGTCTGCAGGAGGGCTGTGGGCTGGTAACCTCCAGAGAAAACTGTTGAGCTGGAAAGCAGCAGCAAAGAACAAATCTACCCCAAGCAGCTCCCTCTCTTCTCTGCTGTGAACGCTACCAAGTCTTTTCCACTCTGTAAAAGCCAGTTTGGTCCTTCCTTCCCCTATGCTTCTCAATACTGGTCACTTTTTCAAAACCTTGAGACGAGCAGATGCAACTGTCTGCACTGGTTTGACTCTGGCAGCAGGACAGTGGCTTGTCTCAGTGCCTGAGGACCCTGCCAGATGGCACCCAGCTATTACACCACTTGCCACTCAGCCTCCCGCCTGGCCACGCACGGCAGCCGAGGCAGGGAGCTGCAAGGCCCACTCAGCCTCCAGCTGATACTGCCACACAGCTGAGGTTATTACCAGCAGAAGGAACTCAAAGCATCTGTGAAGAATTCAGCATTCAGCACCACAGGAACAGGGCTACTGCATTAGAATGATTTAAACATCTTTGGCCTATTCAGAACTGCACTTGGTGACACAGGACCATCTCCCACCACGTCTTTGCCATTGTCTAGGTTTTCCCAGTGCTTCCTTTCCTTTCCCATCTAAATTTGTCTACAAAAGTATTTCAAATGTAATGGTGGAATTTTGTCATTTAGATGTACATGCCCCTCTTGTTCAGTGAATAGAGCTCAATATAAAAGGCATTCCTAAAAATGGGTTAAAAAACAACCGGAGTACACCATCTCTCTTATGATGCAAGTTTCTGAGAAACACAGGAAAGTGAAATTGCTGCCACTCCATTATTTCCACCACTTAAGTGGATGAAAGACAGGCAGAAAGGTTATGCTTCCCTGAGTTTTTTCATTTACCGTTTTAGGAAGCCCCAAGGCCTGTAGGAACTCACTGAAGTGATGTGCCTATTTTTGTTAAGACACATGCTTTTCAGAATAATGTGTAAACTCAAGCCTACGTGTGGTAATGAGCCAAGGTGGCTGGCCTGACATTCAGACTGATCACTTGTGAAAAATGACAATCACCACTTGGCAATTTCTCGTCTGGCAGAAGAAGAAACTACATTGAAATTTGACTTAATTGACATAGTCTGAATATACAAATGAAACATATCTCTAGTTAAATTCAGTGTAGAATAGAGGGCGAGATAGGATTTCATGGCACTTTTAAGAAGGTCAGAATTGAAAATCCTAAAAACATGTTTAAAAAAAAGAGAAACCAAAGTTTCCAGTATTTACAGGTTGATAAAACTGTTCCTGTCATGCCCAGGATTTACGAGTGCAATTTGCTGTACTGCAGAACAAGTAATGCTGCAGGATGTGAGGTTTCATTACCAAGAAATGAGATCATGAATTGGCTGTGACTGAGACAGGTGAAAATAGATCTTCACCTATAAAAGCTCAAGTGTACTCTGCATTTTGCAGTCTAGACTGACCATACTGTTTTCTCATCAGCTCTTTCTGCTACACTGGAGCACTTGCTTGTAAATGAACTCTGTCCTGCTATCAAGCTGCAAAGCAATATAAAATGTATGCCACATCTCCCATTAGCAAGATGACGCATTGCAGAGTATATGACAGGAATCCTCAGGGAATACTTTGGGATTAGAAGTGAAATGCTGCACAGATGGGATTGTTGGGTAAGGGAATTCCCTCTGACCCATATAGGGCTCAGAACATTGAGCACTTTTACATCGATAAGCAAGATCAGGACATTTTACCTTGTAAATATTTAAAGTACAGGCAAAAAGACATGATGTACTTGAAAATCTGAAAAGATAGGACAGCTACAAAGATAAAAAACATAAAGAGCAACACAAATATCTAAGTAAGAAATATTCTGCAACATGTAGGGAAGGTGAAGAGATATACAAACACAGAATGGACAAGAATGGAACTGCCATTCAAGTTGTTAGAAGCTAAAGATCAGGCCTCACTTCTCCTAACCTGTGCTAACCTAAGACTGAAGCACAATTATTCTCTCCATACACTCACTCTCAAACATCAGCAGTTAAAAATCTTCATCTGCTCTCCAGCAAATTACTAGGGCTATAGCATTGTCCGCTGTTGAGAACCAGGTCACACAACCTGTAAAGCCTACAGAACTCCCAGACAAACCCCATGTTCATGGTAAAATTCTGTGCCTTTCTGTCATGGCCTGTGTATCATTGCTGTCCTCAGTAACAAGGGTTCAGGTACCTGCAGGATTTGCACAGAAACAGAGGTTAGGACTGTGCTAACTCCAGCTGAATTCCAAGGTGAGCTGGACATGACATGTAAGCCCCCACTTGACATAGGGCAGTGCAAGGTATTGGCACCATGGCACCAAGCTCATTGTTAAAGTATTCCACCAGTACATTCGGGTTTCCTTACGCATGACTGAGTCTAGCCATGGTTTTCAAGCTTGGAACTGGATTTTGAAATGCTTGCACTAAACTTGTAGCAATCTCTGAGGCTCCTTCTGACTCAAGATCTCTGTTCAGCTCCCTGCTGATCTAATATGCGTTGCCAAAGCTTTGGTATCTCATAAATCAGCCAGATCTGTTACATTTAAAAGGAGACAATGATGGAGTTCCAGAACAGAATCAGAGTTTGCAAGGTCCCACAGAAGACACCCCTGCTGCCTCACAGACCTGCTATTCTTATTTTTTTGCCTCTTAATAAGAAACACGAACTTGTGTTGTTGCAATTACATGCCATCACATCTTGTCCTAACCACCACAGACAAGATTAATCCCTCCTTCTAAAAGATCTCGCAGACTTCTCTCAGACTTTTTTTCCTGCCCTTAAGGTGAAAAAATCATTTCAGTCTTTCCATAGTACTGCTTATTATACCCTTAGTCACATCTGACGCTCTTTATTAGACTTTCTCTCCTTGTTCTACCATTTTTTGGAAAAAAAATGCTTAACAACAGACAGTCCTCTAAGATAAGGCTTTACCTATGCTCACAAAAGTGAAGGTATTCCTTCAGACCACTTCCAAGCTTTGCAGCCACTTACACATCACAAGACAAATTCTTTGCAAAAGCATAGGTTCATCTCTTATTTCCACACCAAGGCCACTGTTTCCAGCTCAGCCCACAGCCTTGAAAGACCAGTAGTAGCTGGAATTTGGCAAGTGAGTGCTAGTTGGTGGTCTCCACTCAGGTCCACATGGATTCCTGTACACTCCATGGGCACAGAATACAGGACCATATTAAGTGGTCCACTTTTGCACAGTATCAATTTGCTCATACCTCCCAAACGTGTAGCTGGAGACTCCAGAATGAACTGGCTACATTTTGTACCATCTACATTTCCTACAGGAAGTCCAGTGTTTTAAGACTAATAAAGAACAGCTCCTGCTACTTTGCCTACTTCTCACAACCACATTTCAGCCATCTCAGGGGTTTACTGTGACTTTCACAAATACCACACTAACTTTAAAAAACCACTTATGCTGAAACACATGGCCATGCCAACATTCACATTTTCTTATTCTAGACCACATTTTACACCAAGCACTTCAAAAACATTAAACCTTACAAGTTCTCTACGAAAAAACATTTACATTTCCTTCAACAGATGGAGAAACCACAGCTGAAGTCAAGTGCCCAGAGACACAGAGCAAACTGATGGCAGTTTTAGACATCAGTCCTTTCTTATACTAAGCCCATTTATGTTGAACCTGCAGACACTGGACAGCTGTTTAATGCTTTTCAACCCACAGTTATGCACAAAATCCATTTTTCTCCTCAGTAATGAGAAAAAAAAAACACTACACAGAAAGAACAGTACTCAATACCAAACGCACACCCCTCATCACAAAGTGCAATCAGAGACTAAAAGGAGAGCACTTGTCCTTTCACAGACCAGCCTGCTGGCACCTACTCCCACACATGACACTACACATTCAAACAAGTAATCCAGATCCACTCTTCCAGAGGAAAATGTGCCCTTTCTGAGCCCTTTGGTTTGAACCTTACCTTTCCGCAAGCTACCATGGACAGGGCAAGCTGGTACCAGAGGTGAAATTCATCAAATGCAAACTTCATGGCTCTCTCCAAGCACTGAGAAAGAAATGATGAAAGGAATATTTCAGACTTTATTTATTTTCTTCCTTACACCTTTTGTCAAGACTGCTGCTTGGGTTAGGAAACAATCTGTTGTGGCCCTGGAGACGTAGGTGGTTTTTTTTTTAATGACACCATTTTGTTCCAGATTGCAAGGCAAGCCGTATTTTATTACCACGTGTATGGCAGCTGTCTTGTGTCTAGTGGGCAGTTTGCCTTATCTCTCTCTCTGAGTGACCACAATCACTCCTCCCTCAGGAGGGGACATTTGCTGATAACAGACAGAATGTCACTGCATGACTGATAAGAACTACAGCATCCCATTGTGACATGCTCCGCCCAGAGGGAGGAGCCAAGCATTGCTACCCAGACATAATCCGGAGGTTCTGGAATGCCAGCATGGCTTCTCCACTGGATTCCCCAAAGGAACAGCAGCTGCCTCTTCTTCCACTGGATCTTAGGAGAAAGAACACATCCTTTTCTACATGACCCCCTGATCCAACAGAGCCACAGCTGGCACTCCAGGAGGACTGCAGCCACAATTCCAATTGGACTGCTACCAGCACCCTGACCCACAGGGTGTCAGGTTGGCTTCTGACTCTGTCAGTGTTGTTCTGTGTACTGCATTGTTTATTTCATCCTTTTATTTTTCTTCCCTATTAAAGAACTGTTATTCCCTGCTCCCATATTTTTTGCCCCTTGAGAGCCCCTTAACTTAAAATTTATAGCAATTCAGAGGGGTGGGGAGGGTTTACATTCTCCATTTCAGGGGAGGTTCCTGCCTTCTTTAGCAGCCTCCTGTCTTTCCGAACCAAGACACATTTACACTTCTCAGCTAATGGGACTTGCTAGTGTACACTATTGCTTCAAAAGGCAGCCACCTTTTTCAAGTGCCTACACATAAATTATGTTAATGTCTCCAACAGTTCTGTGTGCCTTTCTGGCCTGTGCAGCCACAGCTCTGCAGCTGTTTCTGCTGATAGCACGCTCCATTTTCACCTTCCCTGACAAGCCACCACGAAAAGGGGCTTTGCCAGCGTGTTTGGAGGGGCAGAGGCCAAGGGAGGTACCTCAGACAGCATCACATACTGCCCTCTTCTGCCCAGCGTGATGCTGAGGAGGTCGTAGACTGCAGAGGCGTCCCGGAGGCTGACGGCTCGGTCATCCTGCTGCTCTGGGGCGCGGCTGATCACTGCGTCCCGGTTCGCCTGCGCACACACGAGAGAGCCATCAGAAACCAGGAGAGAACAACAAAACTGACTCCTTCATAGGAAGCTACACCCACCACTCATTGCATTTTGTTTCAAATCATCTCAAGATTTTTTTTAAAAAAGTTTATCCCACCATAACGAAGGTGCTTCCACAGAGCTGCTTTCTACCCACATGAAGGAAACTCAAGAAGATAGCTGCACCTACAGGAAGGAACTGCTACACATATCTCATCTGGATTTGTGTCACAGAATTAGAGCATTATGAAACAGACCTACCAGATCCCATTTCCTCAATAATTAGAAATTCAAGGCCATCCTTAAACCATCTTCCTTATTACTTCAATTGCCTGCAACTGTGATAACTGCTTCCAAGTTTCATAATTTATCTTCCGTGTCTACACTAGATTTCTTCACAATAGCATCCATTTTTGTTGTTCTTTTTTGCTACTGACCTTTTATTGTCTAATTTGAGCAGGTAGCCTAAGTAGTCAGATTTGCCTGTCATCAACTTAAAGCAATTAAAGGTTTGGGCAATGCAATAACAAATTGTTTTTTTCAAATATATAAAACATGTCTTAATTTTGCTAATCTATCAGTACATTGCTGGGCCTAGATCAGGAAGAAACATTACTTTTGACAGAAACAATCAGTTCAGCAGTTTTTGAGTACGTCCCGAAATACCACATGCCACAGACTCAGATTTACCTCCGAATCCCAGCCCTATGTGCTTTTCTGAGCACAAAGAGGGAGATTACAATTCTAGAGTAAAGGGAAAATTCCTTCTGATTTCCAAACACAGAGGGCCTCACCGAGACTACCCAGCCTCTGGGAGAGGCAGTGCTGGACGCCACTGAGCCTGAGCACCATCTGATAGCACAGACACACTGCCCTGGGCTTCTCAGCTAAAAGGGGTGCAACATCAGACACTCAAGTCTAGACATCTGAAACAGCAGAAAAATCAAGAAAACTGCCAGCAAATTCACCTTGAGCAAAGGCAAACAAAATGTTCCCTCCTTGAAACAGGAAGGTTATGAGATTTATTTTACAATACAACTATAATCTTACACCTATTTCTAATTGTGGTGAGATATTTTTTTTCTGTAAAAAAGTTAAACATGGGAATTAAGCATAATAAAAATTTCCAGAATATGCAGCCCTTAAAGCCCACGCATACTTCATTGTGATTAAGCTGCAGCTGTTTCATCAAGATTTTATCTGTGTAATGCCCCAGTTCCAAGCACTCTTCATCACAGCCTCCAGCCGAGACTACAAACAAAATTACTGGCAACTAACACAATCTCAACCAAGAGCTAAATGGTGACCGCAGCTAAAGGCAAGCTGACAGATAGGACCCAGTCCAGTGTTTGCACAAATAAACTTACAGCAACTCCTGCAGCCACAAAGGCATTTTTATTTTTCATGCTACTGCAAAAGATGCAATTCATGATTAAAAAAACAGTTCAGAAAAACAGAATGCATGACAGAATGAGAACTACTTTAAAAATTCTGCCAAGAGTACAGAGGTATAGCTTGTCTATCTTTATTAGCAGAATTTAAAAAAATTAAAAAATAAATACATGCTTAAGCTCTGTTTGGATTTAACATAAGACTCCTACTTTAAAAGGAAAAAAAGGAGTTAAGTAAAGCCATATACTGTATGATCCTTATGGCCAAGCAAATCCTCCCACATATACACAATAGCATCAACAGCTTTTTCTGCACCGGTTACATTGTTATGACAATTGTTTGCAGCAAACAGCTACTGAGACAGCACCCCCATGCTCTATAATCTCATCAACAACCTCCCATTACAGCCAGCTACAGCCTGATGCTTTTTTGAGTATCCATCAAGTACCAAGCTATGATTTTTAAGTGGATGCATTAGCACAGACACAAAATTAATCAAAACTTATGACTGTCCATCACATTTTGCCACAGATACTGGTACTAGAATGAAGAACACACCCCAGTCCTGCAAAAGCAGGAATACAGGGCATATTGCAAGGATGCAACATTCTAAAATTGCAGTATTATGTATTGTATATATCATACTTTACCCAAGCAGACAGCAGTTAAACGCAACATATGCATAGGCATGATGAATATTCTTTCCAAGAAGGTCATAAACCTGCTGATTTTGTACAAGGTTTTAAATCTAAAAGCCATAGAAGGTCTTTGCAATCTATCACTCTCTGTGCTTCCATAAAAGCATAAAAGTTGCCACTAACAAATTCATTGTTACTTCTATCTCAACAATTTCTTCAATACCGAATCTATTCCCAATTGCTAATTCCAGCTGCTCTAAAAAAATAAATCAAGAGCCCACATTATAGTAGGGACATAAAAACCCACAGACCCCAAAACCAAAAGGCACAAACCTCATAAAAAAACTGACTGAACAGTAGCAAGAATATGGATTGTGTCTAACACAATAAGGTAAATCACTGTCCTAAGTAAGGCTCAAGGTACTACTGCAGTGTCCATACAGAGCTCAGAGAAGGGAATATGAATCTCAATTTCCTGAAACCCACTCAGGAAACTGGCATGTCTCTATGGCCTGCCTCTCTCAGAAGGCAGGCTGCTGTCCCTCAGATCATCATCAACCTTTTTATTTTCTTTGCCTTTGTTTATGTTTTTGCAAATATTAATCTCGCAGTGAGAAATCCTGACAGTCACTGGCAAGTACAGGGGCAAAACAGTTGCAGAGTTACTGCAATGAAGAACACTCCCATTCTGTGGGATGGGGAATTTTACCTATTGAAATGTACACAGAGACACACTTCATTTTGCATTGAGAATGCAAAAAATTCTAAGCTATTAACACCAACATTTTTTCAACACTCGTATTTCTGTTGTTTCAGACCACTAATTTTCCTGAACACAATTGGAAAAAAGGTTATTTGTACAACACTGGTCTCAAGCAGTGTACCCATAACATAAGCAGCAATTTCAATTTGTCCTACTGCATTATTTCCTCCCTCTCCACTATTAGCAGCAGTAAAACACAGCTACAAATACATTTTCAACATCCCCACCGTGACTATTCCCTTTAAGCTGTTCCCACTGTCACACAGACATAATTCACAGCACACAAGCAGGATGGAGAGAGATGAAAAGTCACACCTAGAGAAGCTCTGTTCAGGGCTGTTTTGTGGGATAGAGAAGGACACCAGTACTACCAACACAAGTTGCACCACTGGGAATTAGCATAACTTGCATTATAAAGGCAAAAATATACAGTAAATGTTCTTTTTTTTGAAGTATTCCAAGGTAATTGAGCAACCTGGAGATGCATCCCACTTGGAAATTTTGGGACGCATAAGGCACAATTAGCTGTGCATGTAGGGGGCTCAGACATGACACCAGTCCTATATGGGGAGATTGGACACATTTTGCAGTTAGCCCAGACCAGGACCTTGAGAATCTTCAGCCCCTATTTCCACAGCCCAGTGACACAGCCTGTCTGCAGGCACACACCCGCAAGGGGCTCCAGCCCAGGCTGGCAGCCCTGAGCTTACTCAGCATTCAGGCCCTGTGGTGTCTCTGAACCTGACAGGGCACAGAGCCTGGGGTCAGCAGGGCTTTTTGCTCTGGCTCCAAACACAGCAATGCCACCAAAGGGGACTTTGAGAGCTGTGCTGGCTCTGCCTTTCCAAGCAGCCGCGGCGCTGAGCTGCACACAGCTCGGGCCTTCCTACCCACACACACAGGACACTCACCTGCAAACTAGATAAACCCCCCATCCACAGAGGATTTGCTGTACAGCAGTGATATTTATTTATGGCTTGTTTATTTCAGGAAGGAAGAAAAAGAGCCACAGCAAATCCAAACAGCCATTACTTCAGCAGTTATTACGCACACAGTTACACTGCAGAAAATTAAATTTACCACGGTACAAAGATGTGTTTCTTAATAAAACGTCCAGTAATCATATGAATTACAATAGAGTATATTCCATGTAGCAGCCCCTTCTCACAGCAATTAGCTATGAAGTATCCTTTAATTGCTCACTTTGAAACATGGCTTCCCCTGCTTTTTTCCAAAGGAGAAAAAGAAAGCAATTAAAATCTTTAATGAGTGCCTGCTGCCTGCCCCCTAATTCATGGGCATTCGAATGTTCAACTTGTGTCTTTTCATAATAGACATAATTGCCAGATCCACTGCAACCCATCTATACAGAACAGCAGCATGTTTTACACAGTGTACTGTAATAATGTAATTGGTGTGATTCAATACTACCATTAAGAGAGAAAAACAAATGCCGTGTGTGTAAGATTGACAACAGCCCTTTGAAACCATGCAATTGATGCCTTTTCTGCTAAGAGCTGGGGAATATTTAGCCTATATCCTTTGGGTCTCCCTTCTGGCTGTTTTGCCTGTACTGCCAATAAAATAATTTAATTCTTCACAATGGCAAGAACCTGTTCAATGCAAGAGGCTACAGACTTTTTGCCTAAGTTACTGATCATCTCCACACAGCACCTGAAGGTTTCCCTCACTAACATATGCAAAGAAAATATTAAGGGTTGACTGCACAGCTGCTGTGAAAATGGCAGGTGGGTAGAACAGGGAGGACAAACCATGCCCCAGGAACTCTCAAAACTCCTCTCAGATATAGTACAACTCATTCCACTTCAGACCAGAAGCACAGCAAATGAAAACTTATCCCCTTGTGAACCACATGGCATCTGTCTCATTTCTGGTAAGCAACAGACCAGAAGTTACTGGGGTCCAATTCAGATGTCAATTCATCAAAACAACCCCTTATAATTGCCTATTAAATATGACCACATAGATATATTTTACATGTTTCAGGTGCATTCTAACACCTTGTACTGTAGCAGAACTAATTCTGGAAACATCACTGAAAGCAAGACAGACATACAGCCCCATCCAAAACAGCCACACAACCCTACACAAAATGAAGACAGAGAAGCAGAAAGTAAGCAAATTTGTTTATGGATATTATCTTGGGTAACAAAGTCATCCATTTGCTAATAGTTATCTGGATTTAGAAAGCTATCTTCCAAGATATCCTCCTTGCAAGTTTAGAAACAAGACTTACTTGCAAAGCAGAAGAAAAAAAGCTCTCATACCCTGCTCTCTAGCAACTCACATTAGAAACATTTATTCAAGAGGTAATTAGCAGAGGTAGTGTATTTCCCACTAGAAACATTCTGCAGTCCATCTTTGCAGGTCCCAAACACATAGCTTTGCCTTGCAAAGCGGTTAAGAGACAGCCAGATTTGCTACTGTAAATGCACAAGTGTGATTTGGCAGGAACCAACAGAGCAGGCAACCTTGCCCCCAGTTGTCTCTCTCAGCTGCCACAGTCCAATGGCCCTCAGTAAAATAGGCATGACGGTCATCCAGCTGTTGTATCATCACTGGGCTTGGTGCCATTAAAAAAAAGGGAAAAGGGAAAAAACAGCCTACAAAAGCAACAAGAGATTCTTCTTCACCAACTCATTTGTTGGATAGCATTATTTTATAAAACTAGGAACTGAAGAGCTAACAGGTTTTATTTATTTCTGTGTTTAAAAATACACGGGTTTAACGTTATTCTGTTAAAGGCGTGCTCTCAGCCATGAGTTTGTTCTCACCAGTAGAAAGAACAGGACAAGTCCCAGTATCTTTCTTCCCCCTCACCATCTGTTTCATGCTCTCAGGCCCTCCAAGGTCAAATCGCCTTTAGGGATTCAAATCAGAGATAAGATGTGGATGACATTTCTAATCTTCGTTACACAGGCACAGAATTTATTAGTTTTGGATACAAGGAGCTTTATTTCCAGTATGAATGAATACAGAGCCAAAAAAAATAAACCATGTTACCTGGTTTGTCTGGTGGACCACATCAGCCAAAATCCCCAGTTGTAAGAGCCAGCATTGCCAGCACTGAATAAAGGCATTTCAGACTGTATGTTGGACCTCGGATTAAAGAAGGGAAGGTTTCTAAATGCAAACAAAGAACTTTTTCTTTTTTTTTCAACCTCAAAAGTAAACACAGAAAAGTAATAGTAAGTGTTCCATTCCTCGCTCTGAGAAGCTTCTGGCTAACTTTAAGGGCAGTGCAATCAACTCTGCACACTCTTGGGAGTAGCTATAAAAATAAACAAAACTGCAGCTAAGGGTTAGTCATGCCAAACCTCCTCTGTCTACACCATGCAGCTCAAAGCACCAAAGTCCCTGATGGCAGAACCAGTCCTGCTCCCATTGGTAGGTGAAGCAGAAAAATCACACTGCAGCAAGTGACAATATGTCCTCAGTTCTCCTCACAATCAGTGTCACTGGTTTAGATGGGTTAAATACAGTAAAAGAGAGGACTAGTGGTTTAAAAATAGGCAAGGCCATGTTTCTCCAACACGTGATAGGAGCACATCATTCTGCCACAGCCTGAGCTTGTAAAGGCTGTCACCAATTGGCCTTGGTCTGAAGGAGAGCACTTTTGTCCTCTCAGAAACACAGCCCATCCACACCATAACTTAGGCTACACAAAAGGAATGACAGAGTAGCCAGGAGGCCACAAACACCCATAAAAACAGCTTTGAGTCTGGCAATCTTCAGGCTGCCTGATTTGTTTCACTAGATTCCTTCATGAGAACTCTACATCCAAAGGCTGTGACTAAAGAACAGCTGGCACAGAGAAGGAACATTTGCCAAGCTCAACAACCAGGATTCTTCTCATTGTTTACTGAGATACCTCAGCTTATGAAAATAGGTTCCCATTTTTAACAGGACATAGAGGACACATAGAGGCAATTCGTGAGATGCCAGGGCAAAGCAGGCTACAAGCTTTCACTGAAAGTGTTAATATATCCACACATCTCCAGAGCCATGAAAGAGGATTCCATGTTATTTGGCCATTGGAAAACCTTTCACATTCTTCAGCTCAAAGGCAGAGTGAAATAGCGAAGGAACTGTTAATTGCCTCTTTTGAATATATTCTCATTTCATCCCACCAGAATATGCAAACTGAGTCCCTTGCAATGCAAGGGAAAGGGATAAGTAACCACAAGCCAGAACTGTCCACCATTAAGAGCCAGAAAAGGTTTGGTGAGAAATAGGCTCTGGCTTTCAAGAATCTCAAGGCAATTTCTTGCTTTCTCCTTCACAGGAACAGTTTTATTCCCCCATAACATCATCTTGGAAGTCACACAGATTCTGGCAAAGCAGATGTCAGCTTCACCTTAGGAAGGCAAGTCAAACATAAAAACAAAGTGAATTTCAGCAGCAAAGGTGTTCCAGGCGCATACTTCTTGAAAAAGTACCACATCTCCTTTTCAGTACACATTTACTTAGAGGTTCTCTGATGATCTATGCTCCTCCCCAGTTCATCTCTACTCTGTGTTCCCTCCACAAGCTGAAATTTTTTTCTGTGTCTCCTTCCCCTAATTCTGTCCCTCTTCAAGGTAATTTTAGAGTGGCAGGAGTAAGGAGCAGGTATGTGAAGAAGCTGTTCAGCTTTACAGTCCTGCAAGAGAGTTGCAATGGCCTGACTGCTTTTGTCTCTTTAAAAATCAGAGAGAAGTACCACCTTTCTGGTCAGTTTTGCTCTGACAGACCAAAGTATCAGAGAAGCCAATGTAATTGCATACTTCTGTTTCATTTTAAGGGGTTCACAATTGTAAATACCGGAAGAACACCTAATGCAGTCAAAATCCAGGAACACTAACTATGTTGCTTACTGGCCCACAGAAACACTTGTCATTGACATTGTCTCCAGGAAGCAAAGTATGTTTTATTCAGTTGTTAACATTGTATCATTAGGGAGAGCCCTCAAATACAAATTTGCTTCCAGTTAGCTCATTTCATGACATTCCATAAATTGCTTTTTAAAGAAAAAAAAATACACAAAACTAAAAACCAAAACTTCAAACAAACAACAAACTTGTACATGAGAAAACTCACTAGCCTACAGCAATGCTGTTAGGGAAACATGTCACGTAAGAAAGGGAAGTTTTGTTTAACTAAGTACCATAATAAAAATGCACACAAAAATATTTATGGATTACAAACATATGTAAAAATTAGATTGCTCACTCTTTTCCTTCACTTAGGAAGAACATTCATGTGATTCCTAAGTGTATTTCTATACACTTGTCCCGAATTTTAGTTAGAACAAACTCGTGGCAAGGCTGATGCAAGATGAATGTTCAGATGTTCCATTTCCCCAAAATCAGAAATACAGTTATGTGGCTCCTACAGTGCTCTGCTAAAAGAGCTTCTCTTGTTTGTTTTATATGTAGCAAATCAAAGTGCCTTGCATCTTCCTCCAGGAAGTTCCTCTATATCAGAAGCAGCATTTAAGCATATACCAAGCTTACTTACTTAACCTGGAACTCACCACAGCAGTCCTGTTTCTACCAATACCATTTTCACACTACTTCATCCATAATTTAGCTACAAGACCAGTTAGTTCAACATTTTAAATGCTATTAGGTAGGGATAACTTTCTCCTCCTCAGCAGAACAAGATTGTAGAGTTTGAGGTTCCATATGGACTCTATAACAGCAAGTCCAATCGCAGAAAGGCTGGAGCAGCCCATTCTGTCACTGCTCCAGACCCCAATCCTCCTCCTGCTTGGAGCAGCCCCAACAAGCCCTCACTGACAGGAGCACTTCTGATTTTAATACAAGTGCACATGATATCCTACAAGCCCTCACTCCTGTAGTCTCCACTTCTAATTATGAAAAGCCCTTCTGACCCTTCTGACTAAAGAAAAACCCTTGAAAACACAAAGCAGATTTGCTGAAGAGGTTTAATCTAGAAAGCACTGAAAAGCACATAGCACACTCAGATGTACATGATTTTGAAGTCAATTTAATATTTTGGGGTGGTTCCACCTCTTCAATTTTTCCCTGAATTTTAAAAGCAGACAATATTAAATTGCCCTCTGCTGTAGAAGTTTGTGGGAAAGAACTTGTGCCAGAAGAACCAGACAAAAAAACTGAAGAAAGTAAAAACCAAAGTTTCCACAGTATCTTTTTTCAATTTGTCTGAAAGTTATTAAAAATTTTCTAAGAAGGTTGTTAATGTTCCAAGGTTTTGAATCTCATTTTGAGGTACAAGTGAGCACTCTGTATTTAAAGCAAAATACACATTACTTACACATTTTCAGAAAACATTTCTTACACATTTTCTGTGCATTTGCATCTTCTCAGAACATGAAAATTACCAAAGGTCACCATGCAATTATTTTTCTTCCAGTTTTCTGCCTGCCTATTAAATAGATTTTTTAAAGCCACCAACGTTATAAATAGAAGAAATCTAATTATTTCATTGCAGCTTATTATGACTGTTTCTGCATGTCACAAGATTTCCTGTATCACTGCATCAGAAACTGTCAAAAAACAAATGACTGCAGACTAAGGCATGATAGCAGAGTACAGCATCCTGCAATTCCAAACAGCAGGTACCAGCACCATGCCTGGCTTTAGGCAAGGCCTCTTCCTCTCATTCCTGATCCATAAATCCACACAGATGTTATGAATGGAAATGTCTGTCTACTGACAATGTATCTGGATGTCAGAACCTGCATACAGCTATGGTGAATGCAATCAACGTCTCTTATTGACAATTCCCAAAACTCTTCACTGAAATTCCACTTAAAAAAGGGGGTGCCACTAATAAAATAATAGATAGCATTTCCACTCAGCATCTGAAGCTTTGCTTCTGTTTATCTAGGGAAGATTCTGTAAACAAAACCAACCAAAGGAGACATGGAAATGCTAGATATCCCTTTGCACTATTAATACTACAAACTCATTTTTGGCTTACCATGGATTCACTGATTAGGAGGAGGAGAAGAGCCTCTTCTACATTGTCTTGAGGGCAGTACACACTGAAAGACAGAACACATTTTTCTGAGGAAGATCAAGAGTTATCCTGCCAGCCTCCTTCTCATTTCACAAGAGAAGCAGTAACTTGAAACATCTCATGCATAATTCATTTGCTAGGTAATACTGTCTTTGCCACACAATTAAAAGCTCTGCAATATATCTTAGATGAGTTATGCTGAACCCTAAATAGATTATTTCAATTTCATAGCAAAGACAGCCCTTTGGCTGGACTTGCTTCTTCCTGGGGTGGGGGGGAAACACTCAAAGTTTAAGGTTTTATTTTTTCAGCAGACTTTTTAGTGGGAAGTTGAAAAACAGGAAGGCACAAAACTACTACATGAATCAGTGACATAATTAGTAGTACTGAGGAGTGTTCAAATACACTCCTTCCTCCTTCCAATGAACTGAAATAAAAATGAACACTTACTTCTCTTCTGAGTACAGTTCAGGCCTCCGACAAAGAAGATTGCTAACATAAGACTGATATTCCTTGTTCATGAACTCAGGAAGTGGATCAGATAAAGGGCTCCAGTAACAGTCCTCACTGAGGGAATGCAGAAGTACTTGGGCTAACTGTTTGGCTGCAGTCTAGAGACCAGTACAGAAAAAGACATATATCAGTGAAACCTTCTCCAACACAAAAGATTCACCCCTCACTATGTTCCTTCCACCTTGGGAAGGAGATGCACCAGTGTGACAGCACCACTCTTCAGAAAGCTGGAGTAGCAAAATCACCTGCTAAGGTCTACAAAAGGGCCAGTTTCTTCCCTCCTGAGAAAAGACCAAACTTCTGCATTTACACAGTCTTGTTGCAATGCTCTAGGAAAAAAGTTATCAAAAAGGCCTGACAGCAAGGGATGCTTTGGTGAACAAGGACAACTGATTGGCACATGGACTGCTGAGACAATTTCACAATAGTTACTATATAGGAGTGGGATGACAGGACATCGTGTGCTCAGCCTCAGAACTTTGTATGCAAGTCTCAAGAGCAGAGGCAACTTTTGTGTTAGCTTTCAAAGATCAACCTTTTATCTGTTCATGTCACTCTCCCTTATAGACTCATAGTTTCATCTGAGTACTGCTTCTCTCTTCTTCTTGCAGTAAAGGAGGGAGGAGAGAAGATGCTTAGGAACTTTATAGTGGGACAGCAACATCACATGTACTTTTTTTACCATCAAGCAGCCAAAGACCCTTCAATAGTTGCTTTCCACTTCATATGCACAGCTGGCAAGCTGGGCCCAAAAGGAGGCAAGTTAACTTCACTAAGCAGAAGTATCTTTGGCATTTACCCTGGCCTGATACCCATCAAATCTATAATTTCCTGCACTGTACATAGATGAGCCTGCAAACAAGCTCAGAGACATCACAATGGGTGGTATCCTCTATGAATTCTAAGCAGCACACCACCCTTTGCTGTAAAGTAAATCCTGCACAAAACAGAGGGCAGGCTGAAACTTCAGCACTTCTGTCCTAATAATCGCAAATAGTATTTTGCAACTTCTCTGACTACTGGATATGTACTTTATATGAAATGTACACTTAGAGATGTATTATGAGCCCACCAACAGTAATTTTCTTTTAAATATCAGGACGCATATGTTATAGATGTCATACCTCAAAATCTATGGGATCAAATAAGCCACACTTAAAGTTCCTATTCCAAATTACAGCAAAGTAACTTGCTTTGATGCAAGGCTCCTGATTTTCACCCCCTCACCACACATGAATTCACTGAATTAGTCTAAAATACAACCACAGTACCACCCCTTAAACATCATAAAGGGAGGCTTCATTGATGGCAGTGGGCTGAGTGTACCACGGTGTCGCAAAGAAATGTCACCACATGCAACTCCCTGGAAACCCCAAGACCTTCCCTGCTCTGCTACTGACAAGTTACAGAAAGCTGTCTGTTTCTAACTAAGCTTTTCTATGCTTTTTATAGCAAGTAACTATGAGCAAAATAGCCTAGGGCCCTGCAACATTAGCCAGTATCATTTTATCATCTCAGTGTGTAATTATTTAGTCAGTTTTACCCTGAGGAGTCAACTCTCCTATATTTTTTCCTATAGTCTTAGAGGGGAGGGAAAACAATTTGCCAGCAATACAAAGATCTCTACTGGTTCACACAGAAGTAGGAGTACAGTTTGTGGTAAGCCATTCAGAAGGCAGCAACAAACACTTCTAGTGTCTTTAATTTTAACATACAGTACAGTAGCTGTGTAAATTAGCTTCGCTCTTGTTTTGAATAAGACCAAACAAACCAGAAAAGGCCAAGACTCTGATTTATGTTATTTCTGCCTTTGGCTAAAAAAAGCATCATTATGCTTGAAGAACACTGTGATCCCACAAATTAGAGGAAAAAAAAATCATGTGTTTTACTTTCATGCTTGAAAAACTTGTTTAATTAAGCACAATCCTCCCTTTGCCCTCTTGATGGCTCTTTAAAAACAAATAAGAAGATGAAAATGCAATTTCTAAATCTCAGGAAAAGCTATTGAATGAACACCTTGAGAGTTCCCCTAAGGGACAAATCCCTCAGGGTTATTGTACAGTTGTACAGCTGTCCCCAGTTGCACAGGGACAGGAGCAATTGAGCCACGTCCTGTCACAGTCTAGGAGCAGCAGATGGTCAGACTCATTTCCGCAAAGTGATAAAACAGGCGAGACAAAAATACTGCTGAGCCCTGATCTCAGCTTGGAAAAGGATACAACCATCTGAGTGGACAATTATTTAAGTCAGTCATCTCTTCTAATTTGCTGGACAAGCTTCCACATGCATCTGTAGTCTCAGAAACACTACACAAACCCACGCCCACCTCCCCTGCCCAAGTTCTCTGGAATGACACAAAACACAAAGCAGAATCAAGTACAAGTTTAACTGTAAGAGTATCAATGCTTTTAGGGCTGCAAAGCTTTTATTCCCAAGATTGTTACTCTGCAAGCTGTTGACCTTGTCACCTCTTGAGTAACTTCAGTACAAGATCTCTCCAAGGGGAGACAGAAAGGTCCAAGAAGGTAAACAGGCACATAAATATTTCTTTACCTGAGACATTCAGGATAAAAGGATGCAAAGAAGCAGAATGCCAACACCAAAAAAAAAAATTAAAACAATTAAAATCACTCTGTACTGCATTGAAGAGGGTTTTTACAGAAGGAACATTGAAAGATGTCAGTCTAAAAAAAGCACTGCTTGTTCCAAGAGGCAGAAGTACTTAATCCTTTACATGCAAATGCAGAAAGGCGTGCATGCACACTGAAACTGAGAAAGAAAACAAGACAGCTTCACCTGAGCACAGCACTGTCAAACTAATAACATGTCTGTTTCTATTAGGGCTAGAAAATGCACTGAAACCAAGAAAGCAAAACAATCAAACAAAACACAAACCAAACCAGAGTAACCTACACACCTAAGTCTGAAAGCCTGGAGGTTTCAATTGGGCAGGTCTTTGAATTAAGGGGATCACTTGACATATCACTTCCAAAAGTTTAAAAAAAGAAAAAAAAGGTAAAAAAAGAAAGCCAGCAATCAATCAAGTGAGGACAAATACACTTTTGTGCTACAACACTGGCCAGTTAAGAGAAGTCCTGCATACCCGACTGCCCCACCCTCCCATTTACCATTCCCTTACCATTTTGAAGGTCTGAGTAGCTTTTGTTTCTACAGTCCGTAGTATTTCTCGCAGACTCCTCATTCCTTTCACAATATTTCTATGGGGAAGACAGAAAAAAAAAATAATGAAAAACCCCCAAAAATCAGCACAATGGAGATAGAATATTTTTATGATGTGCCAAAGCTCGGCACCACACCTGAAGTTCAAGCAACCCCTGAAACAATCACTAACACTGAGTGTGCAATAGTGAGACAAGTCACTCTGAGGCACAGACAGGACAATGGCACAGAGCAAGGCACTGACTGCAGCATTGCCTACTCCAGATGGCTTCCTAAGAGAAGATCACATTCACATTTGATGAACAGAGGGGACATTTGGAAGCCTTTCATAGCTCATATTTATAAAGCAGATGCTGCTCCTTAAAAGCATCCACATCTCTTCTTCATACACACAGATTGTACTTGTTTGAATTATATTGAGCTTACGTGATGCTTTTAAGTGACGATTTCTTTTAGGTGGTGCTTAAATGCTTTGTGTCTGATGGTCCAGGCACATGATGAAATTACAGTGGTTTAAACAGTTAATTATCAGGCAGCTAAGTTGCAGTAACTGTCTGCAAGCACAGCTTAACCCACAGTAAAAGGGTTAGACTAAAAAAAAACAAATTTTAAAAAAATCATTATTTTGCATACACCATGAGTAATTAAAGCTGACTAGTTGCCAAATGCTATCTTAATCGTGCCTGTGCACTCAGGGAGATGCAGAGAGGAAAGATTAAACACTGTACATATCAGTTAACACACTGGCAGCCTATCAGCTGTTCAAGGCTAAGGACATGGCCCCACCACCACAGTAACTGCAAAATGGTTCAACGCACATTCATTGCAGGGTCAAAGCCACCCAAAGACATACAAGCTAACAGAAAAGAAGCAATGCTCTACAAGACAACAAAATAAGCAGTTCTACCAGTACATTAACTGTCACTTCAGCTTATCCAGGAGAATTTTCTGCGCAGACGAAAGCTAAATTTCATTTACAAACAAAGCCATAAAAGCCTTTTCTGTCAAACTGATTAAATTTTGAAGGTAAGCAGTATAAATTGCTTTCATGCACTGCAAAACTCCTTGCACTCCAGAATCAACAGCAAACATTTGATGACAACAAAAAAAAAAGGTAATTATTTTGGAGGTGCATAGATGAAAATGTCATCCTGTTTACCATGAGCACTGTCAACATAAAATGCCACCCTAAAGCTTGTAGTCACCATGACACAGACTGCAAATGCATATGGCCTTACTGCCAAGCAATACCCATCTCAGTTTCAAATTGTGAGGTAATCTGTAGCCTGTCTAATCACGGGCAGTGTACAGGCAGGCAAGAAAGTAAGACAAGAGAAAAAAAGCTGAAGACTTGTAAAGTCAGATGCTGTCTTTTTTCCTTCCACTTTCTCTCAAGTAAAAAATGTGCTTTGAGTTTATCAAGAGGAAAAAAGGTCAAGAATGTTTTTTAAAGTTGGACTTAAATACTTCAGCAAGCACTCCAATGACAGGGCCAAGACACCAGGAGTTTTTTCGTGGTTCTAGAATAGAATATACCCATTAAGATGCAGTTCTGGACCTTATGCACAAGTAGTGACCAAATCCAACAGAACTGGTATTTACTATCAGATAGAAATAATTAATAAATTCCCCCATCAAAACACAATTCAGCTACCTAATTGCTCTTCCCGATTACTGAAAACTACCAGCATTTTCTGTTCTTCCATGGGCTCCTTAGGAGGCTGGACAGAAGAGTTATGGAGTATAACAGTTCTACAGCATTTTCAAAAATGCATTTATTTAGGTCTCTTGTTAGCATAATGATATTTGTCTTAATAAGGTGCCAATGAATTGCATTAACCAACATCAGGAAGAAAACAAGTGACCACTTGCAAAGCTAATTAATTTCACATTTGGCACATACTTCCAAGAAGAAAAACCCACCAAATGTGATAAAATGAGACAGTTTTGTTCCTAGAAAACTAAGGCACCATTACAGTTCAACATTTTAGACAAGGCCATAAAACAAGTTAAGCCTCCTGGCAGAAACACCTTGCTCTGGGCTGGGGGGAAGGGGAGAAGAAAAACAAGGACCAGACAGACTGAAGTGAATGAAAGATTAAATGGCAAATTGCTGCCCATCTGTCAGTAGTCAGGGCTGGAACCATGCAGCACATGACAAATGCTTAGGAACACCTTTAACAGAAGGCAGGAGTGCAAAATGGGCGGCACAGGAGGAGCACCCAGCACTCACCACCTCCCAGACAGTTGCCCATGTGGTCAGGATCTATCAAAGAGCACCCACTCCATCCCCTGAGCTCTGAACAATACCAGTTCTACAGGACTGAGGATTTGACTTGGCAGCTTTTGTATTTTGAACTTTATCAAACATTACTGAGCTGTGACAGGAGACAGAGCACACCCGCCTGCAAACACAGGAGTTTGTCTTTCCACTCCACTGTTCCAAGCCAGGACAGCATCTGAGCACATTTCATTTTGAGCATATGAATTGCTCTGCTCATAACAATAATGAACTCACTGTTCCATTAGTATGTGCCCTTTATGTACTAAATGTGCAACTGAAGGGACTTTTTTTAAATTAGGACCTTAAGAAATTAACAAAAACCAAAGTATGTAATTGGAACAGAAATACGTGCTACGTAGATGACTGGATGAGGATGCTGTCATAAAGCCTCTGGCAATCCACGGTGCAAACACTTGATCTTACCTAGATTAGAAACTAAACAATCTTGAGTCTCTGCAGGACTTGGATAGAGGACTACCTGGAAATCCCAGGTAATGTTCCCTCAAGCCATGGCATCATAAGTGAACATTAGATCATGGAAATTAAATGAGTGGGAAGAGTCCATAGGCCCCTACTGTATTGCTAAGAGGCCAGAAAAATGAAGAAAAACAGGAAGGGAAAAGGACATGATCATTAAATTGCCTTGGTTTTAGTTTTAGCCACAGTAGTGGTTAGAGCACCATTTGAAAAAAAATATGATGAAGAGCAGTTCAGGATTCAGTCACAGCTAATCTAATAAAAATTAACACAGACAATCATGGGCACAAACTGTGACAAAGAGCAACTTTGGAGTCCAGTCAGTCCAGCTTGGCATAAAAATTTGTTTTGTGCATGTACCATGTCAATATAAATTAATTACCAGTCCATGAATCAAAGCAGTCAAGCAGTCATATCAGAGTTATGTCACACAGTTTGGTTAACATTACATAAAATGTTAATATACTAGAAAATAAAGAAGTACACTATTTTCTATGCAAATTGCTGGGAAAAAAGTACTGACAATAAAGGAGTGGACTGTGGACACAAAGGTTTGCAAAGACAGTTCCCAAACAACATGGTCACCATCATATTTTTATCCCTACTCATTTACTGCTAAAACAATCAGTTGCTGACAGATAGAAAAGAACATCTTGAGATAATTCTTGGTAGTTTGCAGCATCACCCCTCCAGAGTAAAGCAGTATCCAGAGCATAGAAATGTCAGCTACATCGCTGCCTTTGCCCATCTCCTTTTGCATCTTTGCATCTCACCCAGGTTTCTAACAAACCATATCCTCTCCTTAAACAGCTGTTCATACATAGACACAAGAAGAAAGGGCAAAAAGAAATCAGCCTAATATTCACACATCTGCATCAGAGAAAAAACAAAACAAACAAATCAACCAAAACCCAAAACCTAGTGGAGGTGATAACCTTAAGACATCTGGCTGCCTCTTACAGTATGACAGCATCTGCCTTCCTATGTTCTGCACCCACAGCATCAACATTCCTCACTGGAGGACTAAAAGAAAGCTTTCTTGGGTTCCAGCATGGCAAACAATGCAGGAAATGCATCTTCAGCAACACAAAGTTTTTACGTGGCATCTCATTAAAAGCACTTGTGACTTCTACAGCTGCAAGACTTGCTGTTCCTTACAGCTGGCAGTTCAACACCTGAAGGGGAGACTGGACCTTTCTTTTATATTGGTGTCTTCTTTTCACTGCACACTGCAAGAGAAAAGGGTGTCCCTGACCACACTCTGAGAAGAGCACATCTGATCCTGCCAGCAGGAACAAAAGCATAACAACAGCACTTGTATCCCTGAGCTCTTCTGCCCGTTGAGACAAAAATAAAACACTCACTATTCCTTTTATACACATGTAGCACTGGGGAAGGACATCCCACCTGACAGGACCTACTACCTGAGAGCTTGAGCAGTCATCATCCAAGGCTTATTTCCTACCTGGACACGCTGGAAACAATAGGGGGAACAAAAGCATTTCTTTGAGCTGCTCAGTATCAGGTGGAGTAATCTACTATACTCATGAAGCATCCTAAAAAGCTTCTTCCCATATCCCTCCCTTTCCCATAACATATCCCAATGCTGCTTATGCCCTCTGGTGGCAGAAACCACACATTAGTATCAGCTGCGGGGGCAGAGCAGTTGCCACGTCCCACCAGGCTCCTTTTATCCCAGCGGACTTTGCAACCCTGGCTGGCGTTTCTCACTTGCTCTGCAGGAGGTCAGGAGCCCGTGGGATTCCATTTCCATCCCAGCTGCAGGAGCTCCATTGCTCTTTCATCAGGAGACAGCTACAGAGAACATGTTGCTGCTATTGCAGCAATTCGGCTTATAATCAAAGCATGGCTTAATTCACACATGTATTTTGCTTCAAATTGTGTTCCTGTAATTTTTTGTGGTTTGTTTTTGTTAGGGATTTGGTTTTTGGTTTTAAGGCTATCATTAAAACAATATGAGAAGGGAGCACACAGGGCTCCCAATGGCCAAAATATCCTTTTAGATATAATGAACACAGTAATGGCCAAAATATCCTGCTAGATATAATGAACTCATCACTGGTGAAGACTGAATTTACAATGTTGCTGAATAAAATGAACATGAGTTTGATATTCAAAAGGTGCCTGGAGGACATCCGTGCCATATGCTCTAAATGGGATTTTATTTTACTACATAGTTAATGAGCTGACTGGCAAGACCTGAGCTTTTTGTTTGCCCTGAGAAGGGCAGAAGGTTAGGAAAGCACATACTGTGCCACAGCTGGCCAACCCTCAGCTCACCTGGGAAAACCACACACCAAGCAGATACGGAGACTATGCTTAACAAGTTCATACTTTGTTTTATGCATAAACTTGTACTTGCCTGACTAAAGGGGTCATTTTACAACATCTGAGCTTTGTGTTTTTGTAAGCCTCCAGGTGAAAACAAGGATGTACCTAAAGGCACATCTCACCGATATGCTTAGAGGACAGCTTTGCTCTATACTCATGGAGAACAGCAGCTATTCGCAGTTGCATTTAAAGTCATCCTCAGGGATAAAAAGGTAGCAAAAAAGCCCTAAAGAAGAAGCAAGCTCCTCCTCCAGCAGAATCAAAAACAGTATCAGTATTCTACAGAACTATTTAAACTGATTTTTACTGGGAGTTTTTTTCCTAGGTTTTTGGGGTTTTTTTGGTTTTGGTTTTTTTTGCTTTCTTTTCCCATTCTACTCAGCAGGAAAAGAAGTGAAGAAAATGAGGGAAAGTATCTTTCACTGGGGGTGAAGGCAAAAAAAGACAAAATTAAATATTTGTGAACACAGTTTGTGGTGAGAAACCAGAATCGGACTCCTTGATAATAAATAGGATAATATGGTGCAAGAAGAGGACTAAGGAAGGACAGAATCTTACAAGTGCAGTTTACACATGCTGAAGAGACACTCTCCTACATGACAAAATCTCTCCATTGGATAACCAGAGTTAATTATGTTTTGAAGTCACAGCCTGGTTTAGAGAACAGCATGTCCTCACCCATGGCCTTTGGAAGTGTCCAGAGTCTTATCTGCTGATCTTGAGAAGGTTTTTCACTGAAGGCTCATAAAATTCATTGTAGGCTTGTAGATATTAACTCCTCCTGCCCTTTTGAAGTTCACTGGGAGCTGTGTTTCAGAGGCATAATAAATACCCTGGAGTAGCACTGTTCCCGCATACATTCTCCAGAGTAAAAACACACTGATTTGGGGCATTGATTGGCATATTTAAGACCTTGCACAAACAAACAAACAAACAAATAAAGAAACTACCTGTAAGATTTTACTGAGCTCTAAACCAGGTGCTGAAAATTTTAAGGGCACACAGCAATGTAAATTCCACTCTCTCTCTACAGTCAGACTCCCCTTGTCTCCACAGGGAGCAAAGCTGAGTCAAGTCAAGAATATTGTTCTACCCCACCCTACTTGTAGGTCTGGAAAAATGACTCTTAAGACTCTTAAGAAAGACAGAGAGACACAAACAGAAGAAAGGGAAGGACACTGAGGAGACTTGAGGTGAGCCAGCAGCCAAAAGTCATAACAGAACATAAGAAGAAAATTAAGTCTTCCTCTGAGACAAAACATGCAATATTATCTAATTTTATTAATACCTGCATCCACCTACCCTTTTTTTAACTGAGTCACGTAGGCACTCTGTAGAGCTGCTTCCAGAAAGTAGGAAAGTTCAAACTCAGAGTAAGTCACATTGCTGCCCTTGATACTCCTTGAATGTGTGTTGTTTAAGGTCTGTAAAGGGGAAAAAAAAGAAATATCTTGGAATACAGGTAACTGTTGGAACTAGCCAGGTTCTTGTGAGCCAGTAACACCTTCAACAATTAAATGCTACACTTATCAGCTATTCAAAAATGTTATAAAATCAATTTTAAAATATACAATGACTTCATGAGATATTCTGCATGCAGTATGAGTTTTGAAACCTTTCCAACCTTTAATAAAGTAAGTAGAAAGCTGCATATTAACACCAACAGCTTGGGAAATACCACACAAATTACAAAGATCCAGTATGTTGCACAGAAATAACAATACAATGTTTGAGTAGGTTTATCTAGTTCAATATGACATAAATATTTGTCAAGAGTTAGCAAGCCATCAGGAGTCCTGATGAAAGAATCTTAATCTTTCCTCTATTTGTCCTATCAAATCTTCCCTGGTTGTGCTTCCTTACTGGTACCACTGTGTCTGTCATCAACCCTGCATTTTCGTGTCAGAGACAACTATGTGAAAGAAGGTTGTAGGGAGGTGGGGGGATCAGTCTCCTTCCAAGTAACAAGTGATAGGACAAGAGGAAATGGCCTCAAGTTGCAACATAAGGAAAAATTTCTTCACTGAGAGAGTGGCCCAGCATTGGAACAAGCTGTCCAGGGAAGGGGTGAAATCATCATCCTTGGAAGTGTTCAAAAAGCATGTGGTGCTGGTACCTGGCAACATGGTTTAGTGGCAAACATGGTAGTGCTGAATTAATAGCTGGCCTCAGTAAATTCAGAGGTCTTTTCCAACCTTACTGATTCTATGATTCTAAGTGAATTACAGGTCAGACTCTTTTCCTTCTTCGCAGACCCAGGCCGGCAGTAAAAGAAATTTACAGTGTCCAGCACTGGCAGGAACTCATCCTTCCACAATGGAAGGAGTAATCATTTCAATTTAAAGATTATTCCACTTTTTTTTTCCTGCAGAGAAACAGAACAGGCCTGTTCTCAGTTGGCTTTTTTAATGAATTTTTATACATGCACTAAGCTTATTTTTTCTTGTTTCAATGCAATTAAAAACAAAACCTGACACAAAAACACACCTTTGCTACTGAGAAGAGCAGAAGTATCTGGTCAGAAGGTCAAAGGCTTTTCAGTTACAGGACAGATAAAAATGCTGTTAACAATCAGTACTGCTGATGTCAAGCATAATGTGCAGCATTGGAAGGGCATGGAAGTACGTGGTATGTCCTCAGCTAGGCAAGGCTTGCACGTGCCCAGCAAATCAGCAGCACCCATTATCTGCATGGCTCAGTGGAAGGCTCCCAGTGTCCATCCTACCAACCAGTGGCCAAGCAGCTGCTTGCTACTAATCACAGAAGGGTTTGGTTTGGAAGGGACCTTAAAAGATCATCTAGCTTCAACCTCCCTACCCATGTCCCTGTCCATGGGCAGGGATACCTTCCACTATACCTGGCAGCTCCAAGCCCCACCCAGCCCAGCACTGAACACTTCCAGGGATGGAGGACCTGGGTTCTAATGATCTGGATTCCTCAAGGTTCACTTGGAGAAGGTGAAGCACTGGTAATTAAACTGCTATGGCTGACCCAAAAAGGTTCCTTTCGCTCATTAGGGATCTCAATAGTCACTGCTGTGCATCATTTACACAGCAGGTATGCAAAATGCCTTGAGTTCCTTCACACCAGCCCCTGCCATGCAAAGTTCATCGTTCCTCTTAAGTAAGGGCGAAACTTGAGATGCAACTTGCGCATCTCAAAGTATTTGGTGCTTTACCCCAGTCAGAATTTATTTCCAGACCTCATTCTCAGAAGAAATAGGTATAGACCAGCTAAACTGCTGATTTTACTGAGACACCTCACTTCCAATTTGTTCTCAGACCCCTTGCTATGATCACTTGACATTTCTCCATTTTTTAATTTTTGCTGAGAAACCCCTAGAAATTTCACCCAGGCCATACACTAAGCACATTTCTTCTTACCTTCTCAAGCTCCTGCAAGTATACCTGGGCAATAACACAGGCTCTCTCAAAACAAGCCATGACTTCCTCCTCCCTTTCACACAGTCGAGCACGTGAGGCAATTGAGTTGGTTGAGCGTTCCAGTGACAAACCTGCAAAATGGCAACATCATCTTTAACTGAAGCCTACCAACAGCAGTATGGCCATATTATTATTAATTTACCAGCTGACAAAAAGGCTTTTCCACATGTGGTTTCCCTCTTGATTTGATGACTTTCAGGACACTACCCCCATGAAAATACAATTCCTACACATGCAAGGCATCTTTGTCATGCTGCTCTAACACACAGTACCACTGCACACTCCTACCCTCCCTTTCAAACACTTATAAAGGCAGGATACACAATCCCTCTGGCAAGAATCAGCAGACAGAGAAATTAAGGCCTGTATTTTCAGAGACAGCTACAGATCTTGGGTGCTTCAATTCAGTGCCAGTATGCACTGAATTTGATCATTTCTAGGCATCTGCTACTTCATGTGAAGCTTTTAGTAAGCAGCAGTGTTGAGGGGAAAAAACAAAAAAATTCCTAACTGGAAAATTATACAGAAACAAAGTTGGAAATTCTGAGGCCTCTCTTGGAAAATCTGAGCACATGCAGATTGCTCATGGACACACAGCAAGCTCTTGGCAAGGCACAAGAGACTCTTAACCACAAGATCATCATATTTCCAAAGGAAGGAAAAAAACCTGGGTTTTGTACTACTGAACTTCTTTCTTGTATCATTATCCAACACCACCAATAAACACAGAGTATGCTAATTGAAGATGCACAGCTACTGGTCCCTACAATAAAAATTTCTACTATCAGACCCTTGTCTGGCATCATACTATGACATCCTTTATACTCTTAAACTTAACTGGATGGGCTACACATCAATATCCCTGTTTCACTCTGATTGGTACAGGTTCTTATGCCACACAGGATCTCTACAAGACACCACTGCTTGAAAACTTGGATCTTCACCAATCACAACTGCACCAACACCTCATAGCCTAACACATGCTGCAAAAAGTTCAGCACATGCTTTCCAATGGATTTTTTATATAACAGCATTCTCTAATAACAATGACAAACATGTAAGATGCAATACAAAATTCTACTGTTCCTGACACAGATCCACAGAGGTGACAAAAGAAGAAAAGAATTCAGCTGTCCAGACAGCTCTCCAATGAAGTAATTTCAACTGCTGCAGCATGTAGCAAGGGATTTGGGAGGACCCACCACAGGCACCAGCCATGCTTTCCTGGACTTTCACAGTTCAAGAGGCAGAGCACCTCAGTCTGCTCATTCCAGGAGTCTTGGCAACAACCTGCTGTGAGGCAGAATGGGCAGCCAGGCTTCCCCATGATGTATGATACAGTCTGGTTGCTCCTGCTGGAGGAGCCTGAGGTTCCTAGGCAGTCTTAGCTTTGTTTACTTCTGCTGTTCAACATTTGTTCTGTCCCCTTGGTTACTCCACGAGGAGTTTCCCTATCTCGTGTCTTACATTTGAGCCAGACATAAGCAGTTATTTCAGTGGGTTGGGAAAAGGCCTCCCTGGTTCAAGCTCAGGAGGTGGCTCCCCACTCCTTCTGTCCTCTCCCAAGCCACAAGTACACAGTGTGCTCCCTCAAAGATCTATATCTTGAAGGAACACACGTTCATACCTTTCACCTCTGAAAATACAGACCAGAGTAGAACAGGAGGACTGAATTGATTTCAGACTGACAGGGTGTGTGGGATGGGGATGACAATCATTTTGCTGCTTTTAACTAATGCCCAATCTGTGTTTTCTTCTTCCTTCCAGAAAACACCTTGTACAGCATCCAGATATAACAGATTTCATCTCTAGCTCATCTATGAAGTCTCTGTCTTTATATCATGTGTTGTTTTCCTATTATTTTGATGGTTCCATTCTCCAACCCTGTAACTTTGTAATGAGTGAAGGAAAAAAATGCTCATTAACTCTCTCTACAGGAAAAGAACAAACCAAAAGTATCCAGCACTACAGTCAGAACAAATAATCTACAAATATTCTTCTTAGACCTGTCTCAGTTTTATCTACCTCTGAATTTCTAGTCATTTCCCTTAAGTGAAAATAAATTTTAAGAAGTCTGCATTTCAGAGCCATTTCCCTTAAGTGCAAAGTAGGGTTGAAGGCCCTGCAAAAAAAAATCCAGTACAATCCACTGACATTCATATACAAGCAGCATTTAATCAAACTGCAAAGAGCTGTCCTAACACAGTCTGTTTGGGGGTGTTTATCGTGGGAGATGTCACACAGATAGAAGAGGTTGATAAAAAGCCATTTCCATACATGCCACAGCCCACCGCAAGGAGTTACTACCTCTGAGCTCTGACATGGGGGAGGAAAGCAAGCAGGCTCTGCCAGCATCAGGTACTGACAACAAACATGCCCATCCATGCAAGGCAGAAAAACAGAGCTGGGGCTGGTCACAGACAGGGGAAGGAACATCTCCCGAAGGATTCTTGCCACACTAAGTATCCAGCAATACACAGTGTGTTAAAACAGACACTATGCTACACTGCACTACTTGTAAAGGGCTAGGGGGAAAAATGACCCACATGATGTAACATTAGTCATGGTTCTCTCTCTGTCATTGTGTGCACTGACCTCATGTCATTCCAGTACAAAATCTTCTACAGAATCCAAACAGGGCTATTCTTCCCTACCACAGAAATGCAATGAAAAAAATTAGAGCAAGCAGACTGCAAATCCAGTATACAAGGGGAAGAACAGAAGAAAAACAACATAAGTTCCCTACTCTTGCAGCCACCAATTCAGTTCCCACAGTACAAAGCCCCAACAAAAAGATTTGCTCAGGATGCAGTTGGGTAAGACTTGACAAGCCCACCAGCACAAAGAGCACAAATGCCACTAACTCTTGTCCATCCTCCAGTTACCAGCACAGAAAAGACTGCAGCACAACACACAATTTAAATTCAACTCAGCTTCCACAATGTGTCAGAAAGCCACTAAAGTGCATGTTACTTCCACACTGGGGTTAGCAAAAAAAGTAGAGCTATTGCCAAGACAGAATTAGCTTCCAAGTTAATCATAAGGCAACATGCTTTCTTGTTAGCTGGTTAAGGTAAAGGGACTCAGGTATTTTTCATAATCAGCTGTGGCAAGAGAATACCAACTTAAAGCTTATCTATCCTAAGATTTTTCTTATATGAATCAGGTGCCCAAATTTAAATAGATACATACCTATATACTGTAGTAGTTTATCATACAGTGCAGATAGTTTTCTAATAGAGTATGGCCCAGGCTCAAGATTTTGAGACCTGTTCCCAGATTATCATTCTTTAAAATAACAAATTCTACCCACTTTAGAGGAAGTAACTTTCTATGTATAAAAATGCTGCTTTTCTCTTCTGTATAAAGGCAAAGCTTCCATTCAACTCCTCCAGTTCTCCCAATGATTCATATCTAGCTCTTCACCTTCCTATAATCTTTGCCCCTTCTTCCCTGCCCCCAAATCTAAACTGCATTTATGTAAGAAAAAACTCAAATCCATAAGGTTTGTAAGTAATCTCTTCTTTGAGTTGAAATGCACTGCCCTCATATATGGAAATCTGAAAGGGGAAATTTTATGAAGGTGTATTTCCACTTTCAGTCATGCCTGGCTAAGGGAAAAGATTGATAAAATATAGCTCCAACGCTCTGAGGTGATACTATTACCAGAACTGGAACATCTATGTGCACATGGACATGTGATATCAGAGTCTCAGCAACATAAATGGGATGAAAAGTCATGCTGGAAAGAATCCTTGAAGGTACATGGTCTGACTTGCTACACAAAGAAGGGCCAGCTCAGGGTGGCCCCAGCTTGGTCTCGAAAGTCTCAGTGCACAGACAGAGACTGCACATGGACCAGGAGGGAGACTACAGTGGCTTTACATTTCTATGGTTCATAAACTAGCTCACTAAATAGCAGCACTCCTCCTTCCAAGTACTAACAATGTACCAATCCTTTCCTTTTTACACAGAGTTCAAGCTTCCTATACTTGGATGAATTTAGACAGCCAGAGAACAGGTGCAAGAATTCAGGGTCATCACTTTCAACAGTGCTAGCCTGCAGCTGCTAAAATCCCATGGCCCAGGAGCATCAGAGCTGCCTTGCAAGCTGAAGAAGAGATGAAGGAAAAGCAACGGCATGAAAAGCATGAACCCAAATTCATGTGTTGAACACACTTATGGCAACCTGAAGCAAAAGACATCTTAGTGTGGAACTTACAGCCCTGCCAACAGCACCAGCCCCAGTCTGCAGAGCAAGGTTCCACTGTCTGTGCCCCTGGGCCACACAGACAGGCCAGCCTGGCCAGAAGACAGGTGTGATGCTAAGATAAGCGCATGCAATAGTTTTACTCTCTGTATAGAAAGGTAAGTCATTTGTCTTGAGGTAAGCCATGCATGATGATATTGCATGGCAACAGCAAGGAACTGGTTGTGTGCACATTCCCATCCTGGAGAATGCCAGGTCATTTTGGGTCACTGTCCCCAGGCAGAGGATGCACTTCACTTCTACCACGTGGCCTTCAGGCTAGTTCAGAAACGTGGCTCTAGGAAATTAATTAGCATTTAAACAAGACTATTTTTAAGACTTCAAACATATCCATGTGTGTGGGATCTCAGGATCTGAGTCCTGAGATGCCGGGCCACCGAGACCACCCTTGGGGGGCCCGGGAGTCCTGGAATGTTGCCAGAAGTGTCTGGTGGC